TGCTATCAACCATAATATATGTGTGTGTGTGTGTGTGTGTGTGTGTGTGTGTGTGTATGTGTGTGTGTGTGTGTGTGTGTGGCCAATCGTTCCTCAGGTACTGTTGGGGTTCTTACCCACATCCCATCCCCATATGCACGCTGGGATTTTGTCTGGCTTGAGCTTATGTGGGATTTGAGTATGTTGTTACCATTGCTGTGAGTTCATATGAGTAAGTGCCCAGTGTCTGAAAAACTGTGTTTTCCTGTGGTCATGCACTACCCCTGGCTCTTACAATCTTTCCACCCTGTCTTCCATAATGATCACTGAGCCTTGAGAGGCAGAAGTTTGATATAGGTGTCCTATTCAGAGATAAGCATTCTGTAGCCTCTTATTCTCTGCACATAGGCCAGTTTTGGGTTTTTGTGTTAATCATAATCTGTTGCATAAGGAATCATCTTTGGAGAGAACTGAGAGATGCATTGATCTATAGGTATAACAAGAAGTAATTAGGATCCAGTTTAGTACTATATCTATTCAACAGAATAACTGTGTCAGGTTCTCCCCTTTGGTCTGTGACCTGTTTATCTACAGGTTCTTAGGCCTGATTTCAGTGTCACATATGGGCTCTATCTTATGAAGCAGACCTTAAATCCAATTAGAAAATAGTTGATTACTCCCATATTATTTGAGTCATTGTTGCATCAATGGGCATTTCTTGCAAGGCTAGTTATTGTTGTAGTTCTAATACCAGCATTTTCAAAAGTGTTTAACAAAACAGAAAAGAAAGGAATACTACCAAAATCGTTTCACAAATTCAGTTACCCTGATACCAGAAATGGATAGAAACAACAAAATTACAGATCAATTTTCCAGATGAACATAGATGCAAAATGTCTTAAACTACTTGCAGACTAAAGTGAAGAACATACTAAAAAGATCATAAATCTCAACCAAGTTCGTTTGACTCCATGGATGTAAGGTTGATTTAACATACAAAAATCTCTAACTGTAATACAACACACAAAGAAGCTTAATGACAAGCAACATAAAATCATCTCTACAGATACAGAAAAGGTATTTGATTAAATTCAATATGGCTTCATGTTATACATTTGAAAGAACATGAGAATAGATGGACTATACCTCAACGTAATAAAGGCTATATGGAGTGCATCTATAAGCCAACATTATACCAAATTGAAAAACTTAAATGAATTCCTTCTAAAGTACCTTCGTCCAGTTTTAGTCAATATAGCATTCGAAGTCTTAGAGCTGTAAGACAAGAGAAAGATATATAAGGGTGAAAATATGAAAGAAACCAATCTATCCCTATTTGTAGATAACATGATTCTATGTTTTAAAAAAATATTAAAAAAGAATTATTTTAACAAAAAAGCCTACAAACACCACCAGAAAATGTTTAAACCTGATAAGCACTTTCAGATAGTTGCATTACATAAAATCAGTATACAAAAATCAATAGTTTATG